CGTGAGAGGAAGTTTCAACAAATCAATTGATGCGCAGTAGTTGCGTGGAATTTTGGATGCCAGGGGTTCGACTTTTGCCGCAATTTGCATCCTAATCTGCGATAACGTGCCATGCCACTCGAATCTGGTCCGCGTATGTAAGGAGCGGTCGTACCGTTCGGGCAGCCTGCTGCGCCTCCCTCCATATTCTCTATCACTCAACACAATTTGGATTATTTGGAGCATCATAAAAGCATACGTGAAGCAAGCTATGAGGCAGAGATATTCCAAGATGCTTCAGTGAGTTCCTGAGGATGGACTTTATAAGACCGAGTGGAGAATGTGCTTCATGGAGCGAATTGTGTCAGAGGCACGAACCTGCGTGACGTCTCAGCACTGCCAGCATATGATAGATCATGTGAGGAGGAATTACGCTCGCGCAATGCATTGTACTGATTTGTAAATTGTTCCCATTTTGTTGATATAAATGTAGATAATTTGAACTGGTGTTGTCAATGTTATGCATCACAAAGCCATTGATTCGACATGCAGGTATGAACGATGGTGTTTAGGCTAAATGCTGCCGCAGAGAGCACCTGCATATTTCCGCGTTAAGTGTTGCGAGACAACCAGTGGGTATCCGGATGATTCCTGGTAATCCCGACTACATTGCTGCTAATGATTAGAGGTAATGTGTTGTAACGTACTGTAGTGTCGTGAGTTAATGGTACGTAGTTGGTATCACGAAGAGCAATACCGTGCGCAAAAAAGGAAGTCATTCTGTTGATCGTTAGGTTAAGCATTATTGCGGAAACTTTGAAGTTGCATAGTGCCGTAGATTACATATCGCCGCTTGAGGACAGACACTGTGAGGTACTCTAAGACAACATGTCGGATGTAACTCACTGATCCATCTCAGGACTCGAAATAGATGTCTGTCGCTTATTGGCAAGCATTTTAGAGGGCTATGCGATCGACTGCGTTCGCTTCAGTGCTTAAGTCGTGCCAATGTATACGGTGCATCTTGTGTCGCCTGCTAATTGCCAGCGGTGAAGCATTCAGAGAATACGTACCACTCAAGTGACCAAAGTAGACGTTATCGCGATCGCCTACACATCAACCACCCCTCCACCACTCCACTGCAAACAAGTTATGACAAGTGGAATGCTTCACCTTTACTTTGGGATGTATAGTATGGGGTACCGCGTTCGGCTTACGGTGCACGGATCTTTCGCTACATACACACCTAAAAATAAGGATGTAGCAGTCGTATCACGGCATTGGCCCTCTCAGCAGAGTGCCGCATATGATGTTTTCCTCTCACCCAAGTGACTAACTGGCAACCAAGAGTTCAGTGGCAAGATACGCAGGCCCCTTAGGTCGCTCTGTTCACAAGCACACCATAACATTTTGTCACCCCAGACCCCGATCATTCGCAGTCATACACCTGTGACTGTCTTGAGATCAGGACACATCGAACCTGCCCGAGCGCTGGTAGGTCGTCCAAACAGTATGATTCCAAGACCTTCGTCCTCTGATGTTCTTATTGGAATTATAAAGGGGGCTTCCTGTATAAAATTATTTTCTCGGATTTCCCGCTTCGGGCTGAAGATGCGAATTATGGTGAGCGATTACGTGCAACCAAATGGATGCATACCAGTTATCAAATAAGTATCTCTGCTAATCGCCATATCACACACCATTTTATTGGTGCGTTCACTATGTAATATTTCTCCGTTCATTACGGCCATCCTACGGGACGTGTCAAGCGTTATCGACCTGGCCCGTTATATATCTTTGCACTGCCATCTGCGATGGTGGAATACCTGTTCACAGGCCCTTAGATAGGAACTGATTGTTATCGACCTCGCGGAATTGTGAGCTTTGTAGGTACAACTACCGCATGAAGAAACTGAGGTGTTGCTCGCCTATACGCTGTGTCGGCCAAGTACCTTTGTTGGAGGAGAGGCGGTAAAATGGCCAGACAAAGATGCCGAACAACATTGGGGTGATTCCCATGGGTGAGCATACCACAAAACTGGGTACGGGATACGAATTTAGGTGATGCGCACCGACTTGCGTGTCAGTTGCCCTTACGTTCGGTGTGCATCAGTCCGCCCATGCATGTGTGTACAGATCAGTGGATGCAAACTGCCGACAGCCCGGTCACCGTATCGCATTTGATTCAGGTACCATCAACTCGGTGTACTGCATCCAACATGAGGGTAAGCGACGCCTGCTGTAACAAAGCAGCACCTACTCGTCTCGTAACAAAATCGCCATAGTCGTTTTTCGGCGTTAACCCTCTCAGCAGCCCGCCGCTCAAGACGGCTCTCTGTAAACCAAGGCGACCAACTTCTAACCTGTATTTCTGTTGCGCAGGCCCCTTTTGTCGTTTTACTCGCAAGCCTGTCACATCGCCCCCGTCATTCGCAGCCATGCGTCTGTGACTACCTCGCTATTCGGACACAGTAGCGTTGTATGCCCGAGCTTTGCTAGGTCGTCAAAACCTTGGGCTGTACCGGTGCGCAAATAGCCATAAGATTGCTAATGTGGTGTCGAATTACCGTGTCCGCAGCCCCCAGCCCAACTTGTGGCGTTCGCAATGCGTGCTTTGCGTACATGGTAGTCCACTTACGCACAGTGAATCCCCCACCCCGTCGCAATACTTGGTTGGAGAACCTTGCGCCCCAGGCTGCGCGGAACCAGCTGTAGATTAGGCACCGTTGCGAGATGTTGGTTAGACCACCCCCGCGTATCCATCACGCATCACCAACTCATACATGCATACGTCTACCGTCATTGTTTGCTTAGGACTAGCCTAATATAAATTTCGCTGTGTGCGCCTGATGCGTCGAAATAATACTGGATACAAGTTAAATGCGGTAAAGGCTGTTCAATTGACTTGCGGATGCAAATAGGAGCCTCATGGAGTACTTCCATTGCACTATGGGTGCAATCCTTCGGGAAATGGTTTATTGAAAACCCGAAGAAGGAACATTGCTGGACAGCGGATCTAGCCCCGGCCCTTTCAAGATGTGCAACGCTGATGTAAACTCGGATAAACCTATGCATCAAATGTGCTCAGAGCGGTGGCTCTTCAACCCGCCGTTCAATTATGGATGCAGTCTTTGAGTCAAGCATAATTACTGAGACTGTGCACTCGGTCTCCCTCAGCAGCGTTTAGTAGTGTCCTTGGGAAATGGTAATAGAAACAGTATAGTATAAGCAGCGACTCAACTGGCGTTCGCATGGTACTCAACCAGCTCTAGTACATCGCGCGAGATTACGAACCGGGCATACGGCGACGCTCGCTCACTGACACAAAGTGACAATGAAACATTCCACATGGGACGGCAGCCCAAAAACAGGTGCATTTTAGCCATTAATCGGGTTGGAGTTGAGAGAGGTTTATTTAATCCTTGAATGATTGTTTTGCACAGGCATAAAGCTGAGTGCGCCATCACCATCGATTTGTAAATCACAAATCGCCAGTCTAAAGCTGCATCCAGTGTAGCAGCCACACATTCATTATTCACCCTGACCTCAATTTTCATTCGGTCACAAAAACGCCACTGCTTTATCCTCAAACGTTATTGTCAATGGTCAAATATGGACGCCGTCCGTCAGCCTTGAACTTCTACCTTACTTTTTAAATATTCAAGCAACGTAGGCGCTTGAAATGATGAGAGGTTTATCGTGGAGTGGAGTGTCTCCTTGATGTGTTCGTTTTATCCATTCGTTTTTACCACCCGCGCTACATAGTTAACATTTATTGGACCAGTCATCTGCTGTTACATCTGATTGGTTACACTTTGTACACGTCTACCTATTTTATTGTAACGCGTGCATGTGCGAACTGGCTCATACACACGTTCCGTTGCTTTTCTGGTCTTTAGCCTACTGGGGACACAACATGGAGGTACGTCGCTCGATAAGGAAATAAAACAATTAGCACAGCCTGTTGCCTTGTTCTAACAGCCGTTTTACATGTGTGGCTGATTGAAATGCAGTGATGGTGCTAAGCTTCAGTGAACAGCGCAGCAAGCCACCTGATTCACGCTCACCTTCTCAGATCGCTGCAAGTTTGACAACCTTGAATAAGCATCATACATCATACTCCAAGATTAAAATCATGTGACAGAGATAACCATAGTTCGTGATTCATGATGAGCTACCTAAACAATTACGTGCAGTGAAAAGATTCTCGGTGTCTCTCGGTCGCAGCACTACAATAGCCAGACTGTAGCCACTCCTAATACGGACCCTGTAATCTAAGCGATAAAAGTACCCATCAGCGAGTCCATACTAGTCCGAACTGAGAATGTGTTGCGGGTATACCAATGGGTTTGCACCCCGGAAATCTACATTAGTGCCCCCTAGCTGACATCGCTTTTGCCACTTGAAATCAAGAATAACCTTCTGTCATTTCTTTCCAGTGGCTGTTACCGTCCTGTCAATTTATCGAACAAGGTCCCAATGACATGTCAGCCACAGGCAGCATTCGTACTCACCTTACACATTGCATTGATTTTAATGCATTTGTATAAGCGGTCTCATCAGTTTCGAAGACTTGCGTTTTGCGCGTTGCTGAGTCAGGAAGGATGATGTGTACTCCACAGTAGATCCAGCCATGGGGTTTACAAATAAATTTTTGGAGCCCCGGTGGCCGTTCAAACTTGGTAAAGGTTTCCTCATGAATAGCCACCACCTAGGGAGATTCCCAGCTGCGTATCAATTTAATTATACGCACCCCCAACCGCACCGTGATTAGGACCATGTAAATAAAACACATGGGGAGGTCAACTGTACACCAATTATGTAGAATGTTCAACTATCAGACTCATCTTTCTGATATATTCGATGTGACAGCACATGATGCCCAAGAAGTGTGTTCTTACATTTACTGGCAAAAGTGTACCACTCTTGATTTCCCTGCAGTTCAAAGATTTTATTCCTTTGTACTACAAAAGCTTGTTGTGTCAAAGATTTAAATTGACTTTGCAGTCGTAGTATACTTGTTACTTTTGGATGATAAAGCGCATACGGACAGCACCTTCCTTATGACGTCGTCCAGCCTGTAAAACAGTATTACAATGCAATTGATTGAGAAAAGACCTGGGCGATCGGTTCCATTAATATTTACCTTAGAATAAGACAGTGTCAATAGGTATAAGTCTTGCAATCGAACCGCTCATTGCGCACGTGTTATTCAGTTGTGCTATTCAGTTGATCATTATTTGTGTAATATGGCCTGGGGTTAGCGAAGGAATGCGGTTTGTCGAGCCACCCACTATATGAATATTGCACATTCAAATTTAAAGGAATGTATACCTCCTGTAGAAGATACTTACTTTCAAACACAACAGAACGTTGGGTGGAATGACGAGGTTGGCACAACTTGACATTCGACGATATATCCTACAATGAATGAAGAAGTTTAACTTATGAATGATTACCATGTCACATCGAGGAAGGGTTCGATCGTAAAGACAGGTTTGTCCGTACGGCAACCCGAGAGTTATCGAGACTGGCTAGGCACATTGAAGAAACTCTTCTACTGTAGGGCTCCCTGCTACTAACCTTTCAACAACGATTCCTGCTCGAATCGCGTTTGCCACACTGCGAAAACGGGGTTTTTGATCTATTCCGCTGCTCGATTGGGTGCGTGTGAAGGTAGTCGCAAGCCAGTCGCGTACTTCGTCTGGAACATATTCCGTTGCGGCTTCTGACCAATCATCGTCTTCTTCTCGTATTCGCCTTGAAATGGACGATGAGGTTACATCAAGTATGCATAATGAAATACAAAAGCCATACTTCATACACATCAGCTAAATAAATAAATAAACGGTGATTTCCTCGACGGTGCAGGGAATAGTCCTATTGAGTGGTCTGATTAATTTATAAAACCAGCTCGTCTAAAGCATTTGATTGCTCATGTTTTGGACAATTCGTCCCATATGAGTTTTCGAGGTGATTAGCAGTTGAAGGTATTTGAGAGACAGAGAAACTGGAACAATAAAAAATACATATTTAACCAATGTTCAACTAAGGTAATACAGTCATTCATGGAAATGTCACCAGGGGACTTGCTTCCATGCGGGGTGTTCCGTGGATGGGTTTCACCCGCACTTCCATGCTCCAACTGGCTGTGTGCCGGTGTGGCAAAATAGCATGTAAGCCATTACCTGTTTAACCATTTGTGTCCTGGCAGTAGTTATAAGTACCACTTTGTTTAAATTGTAGTACAGCCTCAGAGCAAACGACGTTCCTTCCGGTACTCGCAAGGATAAGTGCAATAGACTACTGTCAACAAGTAAGTAAGGACCAGAACGCCTATACCTTGGTCTACCGTGTGTGGAGTAGACATTTATGGTTCATATCGAGCTATAGGGAAATTAACTCAGAACTCAAAGGGTCAACAAAAGCTGTTAAAGTCTGTTTTAGCATACCTTAAGAGTGATGAAGCCTCAGCCCGTTTCCTTCTGCGTATCATTCTAGTATGCACTGTTTGTTATAAGCTAGTGAGTTAGTGATGGTATGCTATCCATGAGTATACTATCTTAGCTTGGAAGTTGTAAGCCATCATCTCAAGAGATCAGCCCAGTCGTGGCCACCAATGAAATAAGGAAGAATATAAAGCATGATGAATTAAAAACATGATACTGAATGCAATCTTTTGCAGATGGGCCAATCACAATTTGATGGAAAATCTTTGCGAATAACGATGGTGCAAATATTTCATGCGAAAGAATATTTGCACTCCGGCTAGGGTTTTATAGGGCACAAAGAGCAGTAGAGATAATCAGAATGTAGTCTACAGCATCTCTGCGGTCATGAATTAATCAACGACAGGTGAGCACGAAATGCAGACGGCTGCACAATCAGATTCTCCTATGAGTGGCTACATCATTACATAAGTGATTCGTATAAAAATTGACTCATTTTTATAGAACCATCCTCCGAGAAACAACATTGACGCGGCCATGTCAGAAACACTTAGGATCTCGTTGATGTGCATACGGTTACTAACATGGATCTTAAGTACTTAGAGACCCCAAAATGAGTTGATCTAACAGATGGCAGAATTAATTTAAAACTAATTCGTTTGATAGCTTGGGAGTTAGGAAACAACCCCCACATGCCAACTTGGACGGATATACCAAATTATTTTGGACTTGGTATGAATAATTGGAGAAGAAGTGATCAACTATCCGATACAGTAACGCCTTCTATAGGCCTGCCTGATTGGGGTATGCTATCATCTAATTAATCAACGCGAGTACTCCATTTGGTGTATTCAAGCAACAGCTCCAAAGATCAGAGTAGTGCCGGAAATTATTTATTTTAGAAGCTTCCGTGCAATCGCCCCTGGAGAAACGTTGTTACTAGAAAATCCCTCAAATAGATATTTCTTCATTCACAAAGACCATAGGTTCAGTCCCATTGTAGCAAGAAAGACGGGGCAATAAAGCACGACCTGTATTGCACAACACTAGCCGTCTCACACGCGCTCACGCCCACACACATATAGTCACATTTCTACACCACAACGCACCAGAAATGCGATGCGGTCGACGGGCACCTTCGCCCGCCAATTGGCGACAATTCGGCAACTCAGCTTCGCCTGTTTTGCTTCGTATCTCCGCTCCTGTACGTCGCTTTCCGACCAGCCTGGATTTGTTCGAAAGCTCTCGACTTGCTTGATCTCCCAGGCGTCACTCGGCTTGGAGTCATTCCTTGGGGCATAACAATTGGCGTCTTTGTCTGAATTCTTGGCCTCGCCTTCAATATCGTTTGAGATCTTCCGGGAGCAGACTTTCTTCCCGTCGTCGCCCGCGGTCCCTTTTGCACTCGTCCGGTAGGGCCTGCGTTATGCTGACTGATTCCGGTGCCTCTGTCGGATACTCTTTCTTGCTCTTGTCGTTTTCTGCTGTTCCGTGTTGTCGAAGTCCTCCGCGCCTCTACACCATGTGCCGCGTGGCCAATGAGATCATTCCCACACTAGCTAAACTGAGAGTAGGACTAAGCAAAACACAAACTCAGACTTACAAATCACCCAATCATGCTACATTTGTATGAATGGACTCACTTTTTTTCCGAAATGTAAGATGCCTCCATTATAGTGATGGCATAGTGGAGATTCTTGAGCAGAGTCGCCTTGCCCATTCTGTCCTGTTCGATCGCTTCGTAAACTTGTCTCATCCTGTGATGTATGAAAAGGCGAAAAACCCGTGAGCATTTGTTTGTTAAATAAAATGATCATCAGTAACGAGTTTCGCTTTAGTAGGATAATAAGGGAGTTACACGTGCTTGTGCTCAGCTTGAGTTGACATTAAGCACATAATGATGGCTCAAACCACCCGCAAATTCAATACTAAACAGTGGTGGGTCAATTACAACAAACAGACGGTCCTAAGTTTACCAGCCCATACCGTTTACACTGCCAACTGAGCGGTGCTATAATCCGGAACTAAGAAATATTGATAGCATAGGAAAGAAACGAGGCCATGGGAACTGCCAATGCGCTCACCAAGGCGATTCAAAATGTAGCGCATTCAAGTGTGCACAATCACACGCGAAAGCACTGACTGCTGAACGAACCAGCAGACAAGTCTTGGATGCGCATAGTTATCATGACATCTGATTTCAACAACAAACTACCGGCTTGCTGACTTTTGTCTTCCCCCTCCCGCTCAATGCACATCCCACCTTTGTCAGGTGGGTGTACGGCTACCCTTTGGAATAACACAGGATGACAACGCGACACTGAAGCATGCAATCAACATGAGCCCCAACAGCTGGCTAGTGTGCTGAAAGCAGATTACGCTCCTAAACACATGCACATGCGCCTCACAAGAATGCAGGTGCGTTAGAAATCCATCTCCTGACAGACCGAATTTCGACTGTGCCTCACTGCGCCCCTGCGGCGTCGGCCGCTCCACTCGTATGCACGTCAGCTGCGTACGCTAGTCCATTCGAGCCTCAAAACTCAAATGCAGCCGTAAACGATGCTCCACAAAAGGATGTGATGCCAAACTCCTATCGTGTTGGGTACAAGGGAAGACTACCAAACCTCTTTAGTCCCCGCCACTGTCAGGCAAGCGATCCCCCCCCCGTCATGGAAGCAGTCACATATAACGGTAGGCTGGCCGTAGAAACTAGGTGATACGGGGCTTATTTCGTCCACAGCCTGTGCTCGTCATGCCAATTTTTCATTTACACAATTTCACACTTTTGGCGGTGCTGTGTCGAGGTGGACTGGGCAGTGATCCAATTCGCTCATTAAAGAACACAGTGTGATTTTATACTATACATACATTTTTATCAATATTCATCAAAACGCAATCTGAGTTCACTGGCTCGTGCTCATTGTTCCTTGGGAGCTGTTTGGACCACTCCTGCGCGATTCACTCGGTCTTTGCAAATGTGAGCAGCTTGTTGTGTCCTCGGCGCTGATTGGCTTTGCCTCCGCCGGCTCCGACTACTTCGCTCGCTCAGTCATCAGCTGTCGTTGCAAGATGAGTCGTCCTCTCTGGTTCAGTGTCGCGCGCCTTGACCGGGACCAAGAACGGGCCCGATTCAACGCGGCAGCACCGTGGAAACACGGTCCCTTTGTGCTCATGATGCTGTTTGGCCTTCTCGCGCATTGGTCGCACGTCAGTCTCGTTCACGTGACTTGCCAGCCACATCACAAGCCAAAACCTACATTCCCTATCATGGAACATCAAAAGCTTGGACAATTGCCACGCCTACGTGCACCCTGAGGCCAAACACGAGCAGTCAAATACTGCCTGCCGTCGAAAGCAAAAGCGATTGCAAATTCAGCCCCAAAACTTGGCCCCTTTACCCAGACCACCAGGCCGCTTCCACAGACTTTAACTTGGCCGCACTAATTACGCAGCCATATGGGTTAGAAATATGTTTCGGTGACTTACTGCGTCTAATTATCGTGTGTCCACCCTAGAACCCTTAGTTGTGGCTACGTTAGTATGATGAACCCCTGAAAGCATGCTTCTTCTTTAACTCTTGCCGCTGATGCTCATTCCTAGGGGCATACACAAACAACCCATGGACTGTGTGTGTTTCCCAGGCTCGAAATGTCATGCTAGAAAGCAAACAAGCAGAATAGACAGTTTCCTATTCAAAGCTGGTACACACTCGCCATATCACGTGATGGTGAGACAAGGGCAACATAGGAAGGGATGGCGGAAACGGCCACGACAAATCGTAAGAAGGCTTCACGAGGATGACAAAACATCGTCAAGCTGTGGACAACGAATGTTTAAGAGGCGTATCGGCCGATCCATCTCTTCATCGATGGAGATAGTGTTCTTTTTGATTTTATTCAGCTATGTGCCGATAGAGCGCAACATGACGAAGGAAGTGCTGAATGGGCCGAAAGGCATCAAAAATTGGGCCTGCAATAAGGGACCAGTGGTGTGATACGAGCAACAATAACTGAGATCGGACAAGTCCCACAGGGTAGCCCGTATGAAACACATTTTCAACGAACATACCTTGACAACAAGGTAAATCACACATCTGGGAGCTCACCGTGATTTTTGGACGAATATGCATGTAAATCCACCTACACTGTTTTCTTGCTTGATGGGTGAGCAGTGTTTCCGATTGGTCGTCACGCAATGAACGCAAGTCAAATCACGTAATGCTGATGTTGTATTGGACGGCCGTTTTACCGAAAATGAGCAGCAATGGCTCGTGTTGGAAGAGTATTTCAAGGCTGACATATTCGGAGGATAACTCCCGGTGATATTCCAATCGGCTTTATTGCGCGTCTACCTTCATCTGCTTACTGTTTAGTCCTTATGGTTAAACTTAAAGTTGACGACAAAGGTGGCTGTTTATTTAAAATCTGATAGATCATAATGATGTCATCCCGTAGAAGACGATAAGTTCAATGTAAATCGTTAGAGGTTTCAGTATATATTTATATGGGAGATGAAACAAGCCCTTCCCATTTTGGTTACCTTTCGAGGTGGTGCTTCGAGCGCAGCCAGATCGCTTTTCTGCCAGCATTGCCAGGCCCGAACCTCGTACTCTACATGTGGTAAAGGAGAAATGTCGAGACATCTGAACGCCTCATGTAAGAGGCCAACATGTTGGCTCCCGATTTTGGACAACTTTAAAGCTTTCTTCGTGCAGCCGAGGTCATCATGAATCACTACGCTAAGGTCATCCTCCTCTGAGCTGATGTTCAGGATAGTATTCTCCTAGCCTTTATTTGATGTTTGTATGAGAGCATATGTGGGCACTTTCCAGTTATCCGCTTTAAACGGAAGTTGCTTCATCTTTGACCACTCAAAAGCACAGTCCAGTTTTCCTTGAAGAAACCCACAGTCTTAATGCTTACCGAAGGCTCGTAATATATTTGTATATCGTCAGCCAAGAGCAATAAATATGACTCCGTGGCACGCGAGGTCTTTGCTGAAGACTAAGTATAAGCGTGACTTCAGCATCAATCCTTCTGGAACACCGAATTCCAACTCAACTTGATAAGACAATGAGTCTGATACCTTCAACTGCGGCCACTGCTAAAGGTCAAGGTGTCAGATCAATAAAAATGGCAAGGTTCCCAATTTCTTAGTTCTCCACCTTATGGTGAAGGATGCGGTGATCCAGTCAACCAAAAACCCCGGGGGAAGTTTAGAGAGATGACATTGGTTCCGCTCCCAATATTTGTCGTTCCGGTCCAACTACTCTGCGCAATTGGTATGCTAGTGGCGCATGCACCGTGTTGACGTAAACTCCGGCGCTACCATGTGGGATATTTCTGAATATCCCATTAGTCCGTAAGCAGTGTTCGCCTAGATTGCTGTTGAAAGCATTGAGGGAGGATCAATGGGCGGCAGTTTGCGCGTACTTAACGGCCACCGTCCTTAAAAATCCACATGGTATGGACCTATGGTTCATCCACAGATCCTCGAAAGGATCGCTCTACTGCCTCGGCTAGCTTCTCAGCAACCGCCTCCAGCGTTTTTAGGTGAAATTTACCAACTCCTGGAGAGATATGGTTGCGTATCTATAACAGTTCTCTCAACACAGTCGCGATGTGGGTAAATCATGGCGTTTTGGAGACTGACCCAAGTATGGGACACTCGTTGGAGACATATTGGAACAATGAAACAATGGTTTACGACGAATCAAATGCGTATTCGTAATAGGTCCCGTAAATTGGTCAGTAAGAGAAATGCAGTTGCATAGAACACACATGCGGACACATTAAAATAACCATCAATGTATCGACAGTATAACGGCGTACTAGAAGCAGGGTTGCAGATGTGGGAGAACACCGTGTAAGAAGCACTAGCAAGTTACAATAGATAATGTTCCTTGGAAGTAACAACCGGATTTCTCACCCACATGCACGGATTTATGTAAATCAGCAGGAAGAATTTGGTTTACTGTAATTTATTCCAGACTATACATTTATTTAACAATATAGGGAATACTGAATCTAATATCTAAATGTGTGTTTTTAATGGCCAGAGTGGAGACAGCAGCTGAGACTGCGAGGGCGTCCTAGGGTTGGCAGACCCGGAGAGAGAAATAAGCACGTCGACAGTCTAGACAGCTGTATTGTCGACTTACTTTCATGGTATTGCATCACAGGTTGGTGTTTCAGAAAGCTGTAGTAGTAGTAGTAGTATTTATTATATAATATGAGGTATCCGCATAGCCGACGGTAGCGTGCATGGAACACTCCGAGTTGTTGCAACTGTTTATGGCGTGGAAGGTGGTGCACGCCCCTGACATTCCTCATTGTTTGACCTTGTTGGGTCTCGAACGCTGTGAGGTCACGCTTTGTCGGACATGATCAAGTCTGAATTGTGTAGTCAATCTGGGGACGCAAGTAAGCATCGGGCATCAAATTGGTGGATACTTACGTCCTCCAACGTGCTGGTTACCTAGTCGGAGACAAGTGAGTTTGCCAACGGATGAGAGTCCTCAGGGTCGCTATGATTACAAACTCGGGCATTTACAGAGCCTGCCAGTCTTCTCGACGTGGATGAACTGGGGTTGCAGTCAAAGCGAATGACCCACCTTGTAAAGAGAAATGAGTAGAAAACTCGACCTTTGCCAGTCACTTTGTTGGTGGACTTAGTCCGATGCTGATATTAGCTCAGTTCGGTGAGCTAAGGGGACGAAATATTCATATTCACCCATTCTGGATCGGTCAGACCG